AGTTGCTGATGTATAAAGCAGATGATGATATAGCACTCGTACTATAGACATATGCCCTTTGCAACTAAACATATAAGTTATAGTTTGAACATGACTGAATGCGTCACCCTGAACAGGCCAATCAGCTTGTGGCCTTTGTCCTTGACCTATTTGAGTAAACCTTTTATTTTCCCAATTCAGTGTGCCTTGACTAAGCTGCACTAAACTGCTTCACACAGCCCAGTTAATACATGAGGCTGAATTCTCCACGTGGTTGAATTGTGGGCAAAATGCCAAGCTAACTCATTGAGAAACTATTAGCCTAAAGGGAAAATGAGGATCAAGGAACAATGGTTCAGGAGTTGTATGTAACAATGCCCAGCATAATGGCAACACTGCAACACCCCCATTTCTGCAGGGATACCTACCCTCTGAATCGCTGCTGTGGTGGTCCTCAGTGGTCCGGGATGGGGCTTGGCCTTCTTCTGTCCTCTCTCCCTGCATGGGTCCTTCTCCTTGACTCCAGTCCTGCCAAACAGAAGACAGCCTTGTCAATATAGGGCTCCCTTAGGACAAAGGCAAGACTCCTCCCCTGGGCTCTTTCAGAAGCCTGTGCATCCAAACAGTCAGCAGTATTCGGATTGCCAGTTCAGAGGCTATGGGTTAATCACTCTGGATCTCCTCCCTCAGTCAGTGAGTGGTTCAATTGGTGGGGAAAATTCAATTATATAAGTGGGCCCAGCTTATGCACATGAAAGTAGGGTGGGCGTCAAGACACTTAGCACATCCTCATATAAAAAGAACCAGGCCAAAGCTTTGCTGAGAATGCAGATGTTCAGGTCTGCTGTGAAACACTAGGCAGAAGAGCAGGAGTGCCCTGAGCCTAGGGAGCATGGGTGGGCAGGGTTAGCCACAGCAGGGCACAGGAAGTGTTCTGACAGCACTGCCCCTGCTTGGAGTGGCCGTGGGCATGCGCCACAGGAAGCCTGCGACGGCTCCGTCTGTAACGGATCTCACAGGTCTCCGCCGGCCTGCGTCTCACCTTCCTGGAGGAGCTCTCCCGCTCGCCGTCGCCGTGGCTCCGCAGCAGCTGCCGGGCGTCGTGGATGGCCTGCGTCACCACGTCGCCCTCGCCCAGGAACCCTGCGTCCCAGACAGGACAGGACAGGTCAGGACAGAGGCCAGAGGGACCCGGTTTCGTGGAGCAGCCTTGGCCCGTCATGTCAAGGTCTCATTTCACGAACCAAACGGTGAACATATTGCACGCAGGAGAGGCCACGAGGGGTCTTTCAGATCCCTGATAGTAGCTCTTGCTCATCAGAAAGATTACAAACAAGAGTTCAGCCTTTCTGGCCCATTTGATAGTAAGAATAATAATAACTGCTTACACTTATATAGCGCTTTTCTGGACACTCCACTCAAAGCGCTTTACAGGTAATGGGGATCCCCTCCACCACCACCAGTGTGCAGCCCCACCTGGATGATGCGACGGCAGCCATAGTGCGCCAGAACGCTCACCACACATCAGCTATCAGTGGGGAGGAGAGCAGAGTAATGAAGCCAATTCATAGATGGGGATTATTAGGAGGCCATGATTGGTTAAGGGCCAATGGGAAATTTGGCCAGGACACCGGGGTTACACACCTACTCTTTTCGAGAAGCACCCTGGGATTTTTAATGACCACAGAGAGTCAGGAAGAACGTCTCCTCTGAAGGACAGCGCCTGTTTACAGTATAGTGTCCCCGTCACTATACTGGGGCATTAGGACCCACACAGACCGCAGGGTGAGCGCCCCCTGCTGGCCCCACTAACACTTCTTCCAGCAGCAACCTTAGTTTTTCCCAGGAGGTCTCCCATCCAGGTACTGACCAGGCTCACACCTCAGTGGGTTGCCAGTTGTGACTTGCAGAGTGATATGGCTGCTGTCATAGTAAGTAATTAACTGATCCCAAGATCTCATCCAGCTGTTGCTTGAAAGAAGCCAGGGTATCAGCTTCAAATTACAAGGCTGCACAGCTCATTGCATTTCCAATAACCTGTTGTGTAAAGATGTCTTGAAAGAAACTAAGGTACTGGCCTCATCAATATGACCGTTTTCCCTTCAGCCTGTGCACAGAAGTACTTCTGATCCATTCAGTTTTGTAGTATGGTGCTATGGCACACCTATAGCAACATGAGCTAGGAGTCCCAGTACTGAGTACTGCACATGGGATGTAGCTTTTTTTAACCTAAACTGGATTAGACTGTGAGCCAGTGTATTTCAAGTACAGTACATGTCCTGCCATTGTGGCAGAAGGAGTGATCTGTAGCACTCAAGGCCTGAGGTTAGTGGCAGGGGAAAATGACATCAGGTCTGTTACACTACCACCTCTTAGACTCTGTCAAGTCAGTTTAATGATAATTAATACTGATCAGTAGTTCAGTTCATGGAAAATATCAATAAGAGAATATTTTCAAAAGCCAGTATTTCTTTTTAATTTTGGATCAGAACTATTGCTGTTGAGGTTTCCAGGATGCACAGAGAATAAGTTCCATTTCTGTGTGGGCTGACTGAGGTATCTGAGCGCACTTTCTCTTGTTTAAAAAAAAATACTGCCTCTGTTTTGCCTTTTTATATTTCAGTGCCTCAGAATATACAATGCTAAGAACTACACACATTGAAAATGAGGCTTTCTGAGATAGGAAAGACTTGCTGCAGGTCTCTCTTCTCTCTTCTTTTGAAGGGACTTTCACAACTAGTGTTCTGCAGTCTTGCTGTGAATGTGTAAAACATATCTGTATTGGAAAGCAGAATTTGTTTTTGGTGAATAATTGACCAACATCCTGGCTGATATGATGTTTAGAGTGGTCTTGTGGGATGTCATGTCACATAGGCGTAGAGACTTTAGGTGGTTGCTGTTCAAAAGGGGGACTACCAGTGGTCAAGTGGCTTTACAGCTTTTCTGGCTGACAGGTTAGTGTGCAGTTGAACAAGCTGTATCCGTGCGAGAGCCTTATCTTATCCAGACTGTGCTGGGGGGTGAGCTCGTGTGACTGACCCAGGGAGAGTGCTGTCCTGCGGGGGCTGTGCTGCCGGTCCAGGCTGGAGCCGTATCCTGGGGGCAGTTCCAGGGCCTGGGGGCTGGGGGTCTTCCCCAGCTCCAGGGGCTTGGACTTTGAAGTCAGGTTAAGTGGCTGAGGTGCTTCCTGGAAAAGAGAAACCCTGCATTTAAGTTTCCGTCAGTTTGAGTGCTTAACATTAAGTGAGTGTGGGCACATTGCACACTATGCGGTTGTAATGGGCTGTCAGCAAACTGTCCACAGAAGAATGAAGGTGGGCCAATAGGATCTGCTATTTGTTTATACAGCTATGCTAAGTTTAATAAATGAATGCCTATGCTTTCAACCTATTTTAGAGGTTGCTACTAAAATGCATGCCAATCTTGATATTGCCTTCTGCTCCCAAGGTAACACGCTGTCAGTCACAGCGAGTGCCCCAGCTCTGAGCAGCTAGTGAAGTCTGTCGCACTGCAGAGAATGAACTACTCTGTCAGCGGGATTTCCACCGGGGGTGGGCAGTCGTGTTACTGGGGTCTCCTGTGTCTGCAGGTTCCCATTCATTCTTAGCTGTTCACCTAATTCAGTTCATGAAGGCGCTAATGGGACCAGTTTTATTTCTTCCAGCTCTTCAAGGCTGTGGTTTGGAAGAGCTCGAAGAATCCCGCAGACGCTGCGGCCTGCCCAGGGCCAGGATTGTCCACCCTGGTTCTGCAGCATACTCGTGACCTGCACTCCCCAATTCAGACTAGTCGAGGCAAACTCTCCAGCTATTGTTTATCCCGGTTTTAATATCAATCAAGAACAAATTAAGCAAGAGCTTATTCTTTATGATGACTCCTTTTAAAGCTTCTGTGCTGAGTGTTTGTCTGGAAAAAATACTGAAATATGATCTTGAATTGCATGATTCTAGCAGAGTGGCACTTTCTGTAAAACATCAATTTAAACAATGCCTAAAGTATCTGCTAGGTACGTGGCATGCAGAATTTTGTAATGCTGTAACCTCATTTTAGAAACTGCTTATGACTCATGATGTCTTCAGTTCTTGCATTAAACATGGCTGGGGTCTCCTCTCTCCAAGCCAACTCACTCATGGTTTCCTACACATATGACTTCATCATAAACCACTTCTCTAATCTGCGATATGTACCAAGGATAAGAGACACAATACCTGCAGGTGGACTGGTCCACTGGACCTCTTCACAGGGGTGGAGTGTGTGTTAGGGAGTAGTTGCATGGGATAGTCTACTGGAAACAGAAGTGAACAACAACATTAAAAACCAATTCTTTTCTGAGCTGAAACATTCAGCAGAGGAGCAGGAGTCCCCAACTCTGGTCCTGGAGAAGCACAGGGTCTTCTTGTTTTTACTATACCTGAGATCTCTGACTTGGTGAAGCTGATTTTTGGGATCTCTTAGTCACGATCACAATGATCATAGGCATTGGCTGAAGTGTGGGGCTGTCCAGGACCATGGTGGAAGACCATTTCACAAATAGGACTATTATAGTTTGCAGTCTTTGTTTTAATTCAGAAAACAATAAAAAGTAACGTTGTGGTAGATTCGGCGGTGCAGTGGCTAAGGATCTGCGCCTGTGGTTGGAAGGTTGCTGGTTCGAATCCCGCGGTCGGTAGAGGAATCCTACTCCATTGAGTCCCTGAGCAGGGCCCTTAACCCCAGCTGCTCCAGGGGCACCGTATAAATGGCTGACCCTGCGCTCTGACCCCAAGCTTCTCTCTCCCCGTCTGTGTGGCTCATGGAGAGCAAGCTGGGGTAAGCGAAAAGACAAATTCCTAATACAAGAAATTGTATATGGCCAATAAAGTGGTCTTATCTTATTCACAAGTTAAGGACAATTTTAATAAACGTGACATCTCTCTGCCTTGGTCTGTCACACATAACTAAAGGCAGAAGGGTTTCATCCTACGGCTCAAGGAAGTAGTGAATAAATGTCTCATCTCCCCTTCTGCATTTAAATACAAATTTGCATCTTTGTTATGGCATCTCAACTGAAAGTTTCCACAATGGTGCTCATTGATGTCAATGGAAAATTGAGTCCAGGTTTGTGTATGTAGTTAATTCTGCACCATAACTCCCTCACAGTAATGAAAACAAAACATTTGCATGTCCTAGCCTGTGGTCTGACCCAGCCTTTCTTCTTTTGTTGATTTTTTTATGTGAATCTGGGTATTTAATGTGATGGAACCACATCCTTGTCTACTTCTAGAAAAAATGTATGAAGGTATCTTGGAAAATGTCCCACTCCATGTGAGTCTTTTATAGCCTCTCTTACTGTATTCTGATTCTATCATTTTTATGATAATTAAGTGGGGAACAACTCGGTGTGGAGACAGGTTGGTTTTTACTGCTGTTTCACAGATCTTGGATCCTGGCTTCAGTTCCAATCGTTCAATCATTTGCTATAGCAACCTTCACAACACTTTGCCACAAAGTACTTTACAGATTTCTATAGTGGTTAACAATATACAGTATCTACATAACGGCATTTGAGAATTGGGCACAGAGAAGAGGAAGATAGAAACTCCCAGTGATGAAACCTCTGGGGATCTCTGGCCCATTTATGTCTTCCCTTTCAAGATAAAAGGTTTGGAACTTCAGCATGGGGCAGTTCTATGTGGAGTTTGCATGTTGTCTATGATGGTTCTCTCTGGGTGCTACAGTTTCTTTCTGCCTCCCAAAGAAATGCAAGTCAGATTAACTGCTATGCCCTGAATTGACAGGGATCGGCAGTCTGAAATTCAAGATTGAGTATGGACTCAAAAATCTTTAGATCGATCCCAAAATTTGAACTTTCCTTAGCACAGAACAATATGAATGCAGTACTCAGCAAGGGAAAGTAATGGGACCCATTTAACCAGGCATCGTAGCGAAGGTATGTTCAAAGGTATGAAGCTAGCGTTCACCTCTGAGTGATGAGCAAGAATGTGAATAAATTGCAGCAAGCACAGTCTCTGGACATCATTTTACTATTTGGGCTTACTATTTTGCTGAGTGCTCTTCTCTCTTTTGAGAAAAGGCCTTTCTCATCAAAGTAATGGAGCAAAAGGCCTTAGTACGAGATCACTGGGATTGTAGTCATTATTTGGATGCACTTTCCAGCCCTGCAAATTAGCATAGCATATGTAATGACTAAAAGTGAGGCTGATGGATTACCTTAAATTTAAACAGCTGTAAATTCATCCTTTAATGGAGCTTTACTGTTCCTTTCATGCAAGAGCTGCCATGTTTTGCAGAACGAAACAGACCCCTTGGCTGAGGTTTTGCATATCGGCTGCTGTTCAGTGACCAGTGTGTACCTGCCCCCACATCCCAGTAGATGATTTAACAAGAGTGAGGAAGCACTGAAGTTCATGAGGTGTGCTGTTAGCATAGGAGGGAAATTTGATGCATGTGCCCATAGGCACTATATGGTATTGGGATTGGCTTGCACACTCTGAATTGGCTTTCAACCCTCCTGCATATGCATAATCTCCTAGTGTTTGTGGTTAATGCTAAGGAACATGTCATATAACCTAGGAATCTGACTGTATTGATAGATGTACGTGAAGAATGTCAAACAAGATCAGGCATCTTCTGAATTGCTTAGATGAAGGGAGGCCTAGTTCTTTAACTGGAAATGAAATACTGAAGAAATTATCTGTCCTAATTCCATCTTTGTTTAAAAAAATACATACATATTGTAGACAGGAGAGCTGTAAATTCTCTTAACATTTTAAATAAGAAATGTTTCCATAGTGAGGAACTAGGCAAGGTGCAGCTCACTCACCTGGCTTGCAGGGAATGGGCTGAATAGGCAACCCCATCTGAGGGTCAGAGGTCACAGGAAGTGGCTGTGCATTGTGATGGAATGCGGGAATCATCACGTAAGGCATATTCACCTGCTAAAACAGGCCACAGAAAAGGTGTTAAGGCACAGCCACTTGAATTGGTAAAGGACAGTGTAGTAGTTCAGTGCCTTTCTGCAACGTGTGAAATTAAATCAAGCTTCACGATTAACCAGTTTAGTCTCTGGTAAAGGTGCAGCTGGGAGGATAAGTACCTGTATTTGCTGTTGGAGGAGGTTTATTTTGTGCTGCTGTTGAATCAACTGCTGTTGCTGCTTTGCAATCTGCAAGAGACATTTTAAAATAGTTCAATAGTTCAACATTTTCCTTTAAAACGGACAAGAAGAGTTGCTGGTTCCGGCTCTACCAATGCATCGAGCAGCACATCTCTAACAGGAAGAAAATTAATTCTTTGAGACAACATGATAAAGAATTTTTCTGTGATCTTTGTTTTGTACATTTTTAAAATCCTCTGCCTTTGTTCTTTGATTTATTCATGGAACTACGATCCTTTATAAGTCTCCCATGCTACATACAGTATGCATGTTGTGTCACCTTTCTTATACTGTGCTCGTAACTCAGTCACCTGTGGTCTCTATCATTCTTATATATACCATATCTTACCATATCTCTGTTCCATAGCGTGCATCTGTAGTACTTGGATCATTCCCATTATGTAGCACAGCAGATTTTCGTAAGAGATCTTTCTCCATGGAGCGGTGAGCACTGCTGAAGAATGTCCCCCAGCGTTACCTGTTCCTGTTGCTGCCTGGCCAGCTCCATCTGCTGCTGCTGCTTCTCGAAGAGCAGGGCTGCCATGTTCCGCTGCTCGGAGTGCGCGCTCAGGAGCTGCTCCCTCAGGCTGGACAGCTGGTTTATCATCACCACCAGCTGGAGCTCCTTCTCCGCCAGGCTCTCGGGGGTTCCTGACAGACAAACGGAGACAGGGTCAGTGCTTCGGCGGTCACGAGATCTTGTCCGCGAGGGAAAGACGGAATCCGGGCAGCTCTTCTACATAGATGCATCTACTTCAGGCTCAGTCTAACGGCTGGTGGGCAGGTGAATTTAGGTCAGGAAGAGCAGAAGGGGTTTCCTCACAGAGCTGTGGAACCAACTACCTGCAGTCACATTGTTGTGGTAGAAGATGCTTCAAACAGCCTGACGTGTTACCAATCACAAAAGTAGTTTATATCATTTGAGGACCTATTTATTGCAAATTCTGAAAGCAAACAAAATTGGTCGAATATGGTGAATCCAGGTGCTCCTTACCTTTCAGTTCTGCACTGCTGGCTGAGCTCTTCCCCAGCAGTTTCTCCCTCCAGTCGGTGCTCAGCAGCTTCTCAATGGTCGGCATCACTGCACAAAAACAGTCAACACTCAGTATGTATCTGGAACTGTGCCAGGCCTAAGAGGGACTCCAGTGCCAAAACAGAGCCTAACAAACCATGCACTCAAACAGACCTGGCCTCTGAACTGTGTCCTGAACCCAGTTAAATCCAGCTTATATTATTTTTCCTTTTGCAAAGATTAAATCAGCTGAAAAAAAATCCATACCCTAAAAGATCAGGTAAACTTTATTGGCTAAATGGAGAGTCAAGACATTCAAGAGAACCTGTTTCTTGCATGTAGCTCTCTAGCATAGAGAGGCAGGGCTGTGTCTCACCCTCGCTGATGTTGCGGTGAAACTCCAGCCTGTCCGGTCCCCTCTGTGGCCCGTCCTGCCCACATGGGCTGTGTCTGTGCATCCTCTCCTCTCCTGGTGAGCCCTCCTGTAGGGACATAGCAGCTTTGATTAACCTTGCTGTAGATCTGACAGGGCAGGACTCCCATCAGTTCTGATTATTGATTTGATCTACAAGTAATATCAGGTTTATGCAGTTGCATTTTCTTATTGATTTTGGCAATGTGGAACATGGTCATCGTCTATGGGAACATGCACACTAGAGGGAGCTAACATCAGCACCCACCAAGGGAGTGCAGGCCAGTCTTAGGGCGTCAAATTGCTAGCCAAAATACTACATTTCATTCACAAGCGTGGGGATCTCCAGTTCTGGTTCTACAGAGCCCTAACCCAGTGTGTTTTGTAGGTTACCATGAAGTCTCCAATTATTAAATGAACAATTCAGTAGAGAGCTATTAAACACAACTTGTTAAATTCACCACACACTGGGAATTACAGAACTCCTCTCCCCCAAACACGCGTCCAGTCCCTTCACACACACATGTAACAGCATGGTCCTGTAGTGACCATGGAGCCTGATGTGCTGTGAATGAAATGGACAAATCCATAATAAAATTTCAGTAGGGCTGGACTCTGCAGTGCAGATCCATTTTAAAGAAGAGCGGGTCTTTAAAGACTCCCGTGCGTTGGCCGGTTGGGGTTTTACCGAGGGCGTGCGCACGTTGCGGGGCGTTCCCGCCTGGCTCTCGGTGCGGGTCGCGGGAGCAGGAGCGGTCCAGTCGCACGGCGAGGCTCCCTGGGGCTCCCGGCCCACTTCCCCCTCCTCCTCTTCGCACTTCACGCCAACCATCATCACATCCCTGCTGGCCTGGAGAGACGGCGGAGTGGGGCTGGGTTCACACATCCTGCCAGGAACATGAGGGGATAGGGAGAGAGTTCCATCTTGGGTCTCGGACACAACAGGTTCAAACATAGCATATTACAGTGACGTAACCTATAATAATAATTGCTTACGCTTATATAGCCCTTTTCAGGACACTCCACTCAAAGCGCTTTACAGGCAATGGAGACTCTTCTCCACCACCAGTGTGCAGCCCCACCTGGATACTGCCATGAAAGACATAGTGCTCCAGTACGCTCACCACACATCAGCTATCAGTGGGGAGGAGAAAAGAGTGATGAAGACAGTTCATAGATGGGGATTACTAGGAGGCCATGACTGGTAAAGGTCAAGGGGAAATTTGGCCAGGACACTGGAGAAACACCCCTACTCTTTTTGTGAAAGATGCCCTGGAATGTTTAATGACCACAGAATGCAATAACACAGTTTTAGGTCTCATCTGAAGGGCAGCACCTTGGGATCGCAGGATTGTACCATAATGCCCTAGCGTGTTTTACCTGAAGCCAAAAACGGGCCGTCTCTCCTTGTGTTTTATATATGATTAAGAGCTTCTTATTCTTCATCTGATCTTAATCCTTTATCTTCAAGAGCCGAGTATGAATTTAAGCCTTGTTTAGGAAGTTGGAGAAGTCTCTGTTGCCTCAGAATACTTCTTAAGAATAACCAAACCACCACAATGAAAACTCTACTGTGGGAAAACTGGTAGCAATAAACACTCCAGACTCTGTGTTCAGCTAGACACTCCTACTAATAGAGAGCTGTTAAAGTCGGTTGCTTACTGTGTAACCAACTGCAGCTGGTCTGTCAACAGTAAAGACAGAGGAAAATTGTTGCCCTGTCTGAACAACTGCCTTGAAGTTAAGGACTATTTATTTTACTCCAATCCAAGTTGTTCATGCCTTTTAAACATCATCCATCAAGTTCACAAGGATTTTAGAGTAGCTTTCTTATTTCTAATTGAAAACATTATAAAAAAGGTACTGGTTTTTGCAGTCAGCACTTTGAAAACTGAGAACAATAACCTGAGCGCTCTGTGCCAAGATCCTATTGTTTTAACCTGTGCTGTGTAATATGACCCATGTAGTATCAATAACTCCTCACTTCTTGCAGAGGATTCGGATCAGTTACAGTTTAACAAGCCTTAATCCCAAATGCCTTGGAGAAAAATGAATTTGCAAGGAAAAAAGGCAATATTTGTGACGCATTTATAAATAAAATTCTTTGAAGTGCTTCTGTACATCAACATTACACTCCAACGATGCAATGCTGATATACAGTACAGAGGTCTAAGCCTCCAATGTCAGAGAGAGGATTCACTATCCCCCTCAACCCAAACATTGCTGATCAATCCTGCAACGGAACCCCATATTGGCCTATCTGGTCTGACAGGTTAGCAATGTAAAAAACAGCTCCCAGCAGCAAGCTCTTCATTCCAAAGGTCTTTGTCTTCAGAGTTGAACAGTGAAATTAAGGCCCCAACCCTTAGTATTTGTTTGAATGCACTTGATGTGCAAAGTTACTGTAAGGATGTACCGTAAGGATGATGGGAGCCAAACCGTGTATTTGACATTTTGCCGAAGAAAGCCTTCATCAACAGCAATTCAAGACGCAGAAGGGGAATATTTTAAATCGCAAATAGAAAGAGGACTGTGATTCTCTCTGTAGGCAGGCAAAATACTTGAAAGGTTCTGACCACATAAATATACCTTTATAGAGCACATAGTCATTGGCCTGGGGGCCTCTTCTTTGTATGATTAGCCACAATTAGGGAGTCCTACTTTCAGCTGGTGTGCATGGTGTACATGCATCACACACTGTGCATACCTCAAGATCGAGAGCTCAATGCAGCTGACAGTTTAACAAGTTTTAATTCTAGAACTAGAAACCGATTAGTGTTCAGGGAATTAGCATCTGACTTGGGAGCCGGTGTGTTGTGGAGAATGCAGAAATCGCAAGGTCAAGGCTGGCTGGAATTGTAAAATGGAGTGATGCGTCGCGATTTTGCAGGCCCCCCAAAGTATTCTCGTGACGTCAGACGTATATGAAGCGGTCTGCTCTGAATCCTCCTGGAGGGAAACTGCAGAACCAACAGAAACACACCAAAGCAAAACATCGTAGGTGAATGGGGGAGGTGAAGAAAAGAGTTGAAACTTTTTTTTTTACCAAGAAAATTGCAGAAAATAAACCTTAGCTTAGAGAACAGAATGAGAAGCCCAGCCCTGTGGCTATACAGCACTGACACTGCTGGTCTTGTCTTCAGTCTCTCCTCCCCCTCCAGGCTGAAGTCTCCAGTCCTGGTCCTGGGGGGTCAGCATGTCTGCAGGTTTTCCAGGTCTCTTAAAAGCACCACTACTGGGAAGTACTGGTATTTAAACTGGTCCAATTAATCCAATAACAACCATAATCTTCTTAAGAGTCAAGATGGTCCTCCAGGACCAGAATTGGGGATGGCTGCAGTAGAGAACCAGGACAGCTGTGTTTGTAAAATAGTCAACTGGCTCATTCATAGGAGCGAGATAAATCTCCTTCGACTTTCATTAGGTTTGCAGAAGGTAGGAAGGACTTGCACTGGCATGTATATTGGGGAAATTTGACTGAGAACACAGGAAATAGACCCTATTGTATAATGATTAGGGAGCACATTGTAAATTGTAAATTACAATGTGGCATTGTAAATTGCCACAAGCTTCTAAAAATGACAAGGATACCTGAATTACTGGTTGCTTTCTGGTTCGTTATGTTTTTATTTCTGTTCTATCATCAAGCTGATTTGCAAACGATCCAAGCATATTGGCTTCAGTTGTGTGTCTTGGCACTTTCTTCCTTAAAAACGACAAATCCTTTCCCACTGTGGGTGCAGATTCAGTGGAGGGCCTGACAGCAGGAGGCTGAAGTAGAATCTCTCCGATGGGGTGTGGCTGCACCCAAGCCGAGTCTGGAGAGATCCTCTCTTGTGTGCCAAGGCTGTGCTCTCTTGGGAGAGCTCGGCAAAAACTTGTGCGGTAGCGTTGCGTGACTTCCACCCCTTCCCAAGCCCCCAGAAAAAGACTGTTTCGGATCTGCCAAACATTTTCTTGCAGGTTCTTCCGGTATCTCGAGTGGCAAAGGAAGAAGCATTCTAAGAATTGATGTTGTGGAATAAATCTAGTTGGGATCACTTTTTTAAAGCTTATGTATTTTTTAAAAGCTGTTTGTATGTAAGAAGGTCTATCCACACCTGAAGTGCAGCCCCAACCCGGGTGACGCACAGAAGCCATTCTGCACCAGCAGCCCCGCTGCACAGTGGATTGGGTGGAAAAGTGCAAAACTGCTTCACCAACAGATTTAAGAGAAAACTTTTAGGGAGGCCAGGCTGTGCAAACAGGGCGGAGATTAATTAGCCAGGACTATTCTTACAAACAGTGCCGTGGGATCGCTAATGACCCAAGTTTAAGATCTAATCTCAAGGACAGCTCCAACTTTAGCACCGTGTCCCCAGTTGTTGGTGTAAAAGATCCACCTGCTGGTCCACAAACACCACTTACAGCAGCAAACCTGGTTTCCTGAGCAGGGCCTGGTAATGCTGTGGTCAGTTATCATGTGGAGCTGTCTGTCTGCATGCATGGATGTGGATTTATTTCCTGCTAATATTGAGCTATCCCAGTGACAGGTTATACTGGAGATGGATGTGATCCTGTCAGCCCTGTGTCTTTTTTTAAAGGAGGAAAGAAAAACAAAACCAACAAACCCTAAAAGTACAAAGAAAAAAATCCATTGTTGCAGAAAGAGGAACAAAGGAAGTGTGAACAATAGGCAAGAGATGGACAAAAGCAACACAGTGCAGGAAGCAAGGCAGAGTAATGATACAGGCCAGGAACAAACCAATATCCTCTGTTTAAAAGGGGGGAATGGGGTCTACCACTATTACACTATCAGGGGTCTCCACTGCTTTTAAATGTTTCTTGAGTGTAGCAGCTTTTTGGGGACTGAACTGTCACCAATAAGAAACTGTACCATTCCTCCTCTGTGCTGAACTGTTAATTTGCGTCCATTAACTGTAAACTGTCAAATTCTCTTCCTTCTCCACATACAAATAAAAAGTTGTATATTCGCTATATGTTGTAGCACAAAGTCGTTACAAAATGACACCCAAGTTAATTAAGGACACCGATATATTCTCAAATACAGTCTATATACCCCAATGATAAGCGCAAGTAGAGAGGCCAAGATAAACCTTGTGTTCCCATAGTTGCTCAGGGAATGGGAAAATCCGTTTGCGTAGCACTTCGTCACCTAATCCCAACCCTGCCATCACTTTATTTCACAGCTGACCAGAGAGCACTGGCTAATTCAGAGGCCCACCTGGAGTCCTCCAGGGAGCGGTCATCCCTACCTGGGTCAGTGAGGAGCAGCTCCAGGGCTTCACCATGAGAGTCAGGCGAGAGCTGGCCTCTGGGCATTTCAGAAGCATGTTCAGCAAGACGCTGTGGAGCCTGTGAACAAGTGCAGTCCAGGAGCCTTGTTTGTGTCTGACTGCTCAGCTGGTATCCTGCTATTCTTAGTAGCCAGGCAGGCTCCTGGGGCCGTTCTTGGCAGTACCACCCTTTCCTCAGCACTCTGTGACTTCGATGCTATCTCACTTTCCCTTCTGTTCATGACTTGATGGCGGGGGGTGGCATGCCTGCCTGCCACAATGCATTTACAAAAATACCCACTGCTGCAGACTGGCAGGGCAGCCCGGAACCTGGTAAGTATTTCTGGATTTGCAGGTCTGTCTAGCGGGCTCAGTGCAGAAACGGATAGGGGTGGCGGGGCTGGCAGGCAGTGTCTGGACTCTCAACATTGCGCACATGCGCCAGCTTGGCCCGGGCAGCGAGAGAAATTGTCACAGGCCTTGGACAGGACTTTTGCATGTAGCTGACCTTTCTTTTTTTAAATCAGATTTGATAATGGTTTTGGGGAAAGCAGAAATACAAGCTTTCCTTTTAAGACCAGTTAATAATAGTTTTTTATTAGTTTCTCTGTACATAGAAATAGCGTTGTGGAAAAGCAAGTGCGATTGCTCAGAATCGCTTGGAAATTGAGTTCACGCAGTTAACTCTTTAACTACATCTCCCAGCAAATCATGACAGCTGACAGAGATGGAGAAATGAGAATGTGTCCAAAATTATTAGAAATGTACTTTGTCTGCAAGAATAACCCCTGGACTGCCGGCACTAGAATATACATTTGTAATCAAAGTGCAGTTTCATCAGGCTCAAATGAAGTCCCCCCTCTCTCTAAAGACTTGATGAAGCACTGTATATTGTGATATCAGAACCTTCCAAAATTACAACCAAGCTGATAAGTGGCAACTTCTTTTGTTTGAAGTGCCCACTGGAATAAAATATTGATTTTGTTAATGCTACCAAGCTTCAAACTGTCTTAGCTATTGCTTTCTTGTTAATTAAATACCCCTCTGGATTTTCATGGGGGAAGAAAAATTAACAACAGAATTTAAAAAAAAATCCTGAACACTTCACGGGGGGAGGGGGTTGAGCAGCTCTGGAGACATGGGGGGCGCCCGACATGTATATTTTTATCATCGCTGCTCTAAAAGTCATAAACGGCAAAAAGATTTTAAGACTGGTAACGCAGCCTAAAACTGCCCTCTCCGATTCTTCAGGTCCACTCTTTCTGCATCTGTCACACTTCCCTGTCTTGTTCTGCATTATGCCATCCAGCTTGCCTTGTGCCCTCTGTCAGCAGGGGCGATCTGCTCCATTGCCAGCCCGTTGGCTGGTGTCCTCCCAGCTTCATTCACCTTCCTAATTAATTTCAAGCCACGTCCACAGTGCCCCACATGCCCCGTCACTCCCAATTATTGCTCAGCATCATCCACAGGGCAGCACACAGGCAGAACCGCATGGAACCATTTTCCTCTCCTTTGAAATAAGAGGTCTTTGAAGCCTTAGTACATTAAACCAGGGTAGAGCATGAGCAGGACTCTGGACTCGTAACTGGAAGCCTGTGGGTAGCTCAAGTCCCAGGTGAGACACTGCTGTTGCACCCCTGATCAAGGTACTTCACTCAGTTTGCGTCCGTAAAATTCCCCAGCTGTATTATTAGGTACAAATGCAAACCGATTTGGGTAAGAGCATCAGCCCAATTTATCTTTTCAGCATTACTGGTTCTACCAATCACACTATCGAGCAAAAGAAAAATTGTTTTGTTTTAAAGTTTTGCATGCAAAAGCTCACAGAAAGAAAATGCTGCTGCGTAGGAAAAATGCAGGTCCCCTTACCAACTACAAACACAATCGAAACCTTTGTTTTCCTTTGTTTGATGCACGTTTAAAAAAAAAAGATCATTCGTAGTGACATTTCTGATTCTTGTATTCTTGTAGCACCTGTATTACAGTGTAGCATAAAGGGCTCGCACTGTGTCACATTTTGTAACTATGTTACAGCAAAGATACCGTCTATGCAAATGCCACCCGATATCAAGATATCCACTTTTCTAACTGCGGTTTTCTTTTTTTAATTCAAACCAGACACGTTTTTAACTGGACAAAAATGATGAATGGTGCTCAAACCAATCAACATTATGGGAACACTGACGGACACAGTGCCTTAGCACCCCTTGCAGGTCGTCTCTTGGACTACAAGAAACCGATTAGCCCTGAATTAATTCCATAAACTTTAAAGTCACCATCGAACATTTTGTGCATTAAGAGAGACCTTATTGCTGAATTATTAGAAATGATTTGGCAATATGCCTGAGAGAAAAGGGCATCTAACGCTATCATCATCAGGTCCACTCAGCTGCCAGCTGAAGGAAAAGAGAGCAGTGGAATTCTCACTGCCTAATGTAGCTCCACCGGCTTTCACTAAAAATAATGGCAATAAAAGAGAGGGGGGAATTCACCATGATCCAAGCACTAATTTTAGCACCAGTGAAACGAAAGGTTACCAACCTCTAGAGTGCGCCGTTCACTTCTGTCCCTGGGCTTGTGGCTCCAGTCTTCTACCCCGACCTTGTGGGGCAGCAGCGTGGGTCGCTGGGGACAGGGAAGCACCTCTCGGTGTCCTGGGACCGAACCGAGAGGGTGTGCGCCGAATTTCCCCGAGTGGAAAACGGCGGGTCTGGAATCTTTCAGAGCTCTGAGGTCAGGATGCACGTGCAGCCGGGACAGATGAAATGACAGGGCAGCCTCCGCGATGACAGCATTTGCATGAAATGTACATCCAGCCCTGCTTGGGTTTTGCAATGCCCTAGAGAGGGGACGGCTACTGGGCTTTCCAGAGGGGCGCAGTAACTGGTACTGTGCAGAACTAGGGGATTCTGAGCAACACGGATCGACAGACTCCCTATGTTCTCCACTCTGGGTGTAAGGGGACCTTCAGCTCTGGAATTCTATCCCCGAGGATATCGGCGATATCCACCTACCCTGAGTGCACTTAAATCTAGACTCAAAACCTTTAGTTGCAGAAAGGATTTTACTTAGTGTCAGTGTCTGCTCAATTTTCTAACTTCTGCTGCACTTCTACTCTCTTGTCTTATATGTACTTTGTAATTTGCTATCATTGTAACTTTTTTTAAACATTTACTGTAAAGTGCTTTGAGGTGTTACTTTTAAAAGGTGCTCTATAAAATATTTTATTTTTAGTGTGAGTAGTTTCCCCAGCCTTTTTTTATTCTTGCTTTTCAAGTTCCTGGTCATGAAAGTGATTGCTAAGACATTTATTTTTTTTTCCTCTGGCCATCTCTTTGATGACGAGAAGTGCAAATGCTAGCTTTCAAAAACTTGCAAAGGGACGAGCTGCTTTATTTCACTCCCTAACCTTCAGCAGCGGTACAGGGGTTTTGATACAACTCGATACCTCCTGGGTAGAATTCACCCTCTCATCTCCCCTATGCGGAACCAACAGAATCTACAGCAGCAACAGCGAAAGACTTGCCAGCCACTTTGTACCAAAGCCTTGCTCATTGTGAGGAGGAGCAGGTCTTTTCAAGTCCCAGCCAGGACCCTTTCACGCTATGACAACCCTTCTACATTGTTCTTCTACTGCTGTCCCTAATGGATTACATTTGAACAAAGAGCATCACCACGTGCACACAGAAATACAATTAACCTGTTACAAAAGAGCTGGAAAGAAAATGACGAGCAGGAGTAACAAAAGGGGAGCGAGTTCTTGGAAGTTAGAGAACAGAACTTGCTGCCATCAAGTGACGTCTATAACAGGACCACAGTCTGTAGACAAAATTATGAGCTGTACCCTTGGACTGAGAATCATTTATACAGGCTATTTTTTAGGATACAACAGGTCTTGTTGTCAAGTTTGTATAGTATGTAGGTATTGCAACTATTTCATTAACTGACGAACAGGAGTGACTGAGCAGTCATTCATAGCATCCAAGGAGGAGCCAAACTCCATAAGCTATAAAAAGCATAATAACAAACATCTGAGACCTTTTTTTGGTTGTGGAATGGGTCGCAAATTCCTAAAAGGAAGGAAAAAGGTTCAGAATGCCTTGGGAGTTTAGTATTTCTGCTGTACTCTTTTGTTCTAGGCTGACAGACCAAATGCTCCAGGAAATAAATGGTTATGTAAAAAAAACCCTGCATACTTTATGCAGATGAGAAGTAAAGTAAAGCCATTGGGAATCAAGCAAAAGCAGGCTGTCATAAGGTAATCTGTTGTTTTCTGCTTTTTCCTGCTCTGTCACAGGGACAGTCCCACTCTTTCCCCTCCCTCTGAAAGTGACAAACAAGAAACCGATTTTATCACAGTGACTCCCAAATCACAAAAGATAAAGAGACATAGATATCCAAACCCCAAACCTTCATTATCAGAAAACAATTTAGGAAAATTAGTTCAGTCTACAAAAAAAAAAAACAATTATACCTAAAACACAGGAAGCTACAGGAAAAAAATGTATACTTACTGACAAGTGTGAGTTCTCAGTGTGTTTAACACTTGGTATTCATCACTTTTTTATCTCCAATAATGCAGGTAAACTAGTTTGATGTCTCTTGTAAGTTCATTGATTACCTGTTTATTATAGTATATGAACAGTTCCAGCAAACTAACAAGACTTCCCAAGCTACAAGCATAACTATTAACGCATCTGGTGTTCTTAGATTAATTTATTCTCTGGAGATCCTTAACACCACTTGCAAAGATGAGTATTGGATACAAATGTAAGACAGAATAGCAACTAGGTTCAACTCAACAGTACTTATGAATTGCTTACATTGGTGAACAACACTGTTGGAGACAGAGGATCCAACAAGTCTTTGTATGATAAAAGCCAACCTCCAGTTAGAAGATCCCTTGCTTTGTTGAATGTCTGTCTAGTAGCCCTAAATTCCTTTGAAAAGGATGTAATGTACATTACAAGGAGAAGTGATTTTACTTTTACGCTACAGCATGGCTACACCCTTATGAAAGTTTAGTCTATATTTGCAAATTTACTACAGTATTTTTGCATTTCTGTGGTTTTACCGTAGCCTTCACTTGGTTCCTGTGGGATTTATCATATATTCAGTCTTGCTATACTGGACCATGGGAATAGCATGATATACCACAACAATTTGAATGTTCAGTGCAGTAGACCATGATGTTCTTATGGTCTAGTGTGGTAAAGCACATGAGGGCTTGCCGACACAGAGGAAAACTATGGTTCATGAACTGGGAACATACTACTCACTCAAATAGCTTCTGGTGTTTAGATGTTACTTAATGCATTATCAAAAAAGTGTAATTTAGTCATGCATGCATTTCAGCTCAAGCACAATACAAGGCTAACTCTATGCTATCTATTGCTTTAGAGTTCTCTGGGAACACTGGAAGGTTCTCAGCATCTGCAATGTGGCGAAAAGGAGCTGTTAGCAAACGCAACAAACTGACCACTTAAAACCCAATAGTTTCATGCAAAAAACAAAATAAAAAGACAAAAAGTTAATTCAAATAAATCAGCTTAAGTGGGTCTGAAATATGATGGTTCCGGAATAGTCTCAACCTGTGCCCTCTGTAAAAGAGGTTAGATAGCAAAATCTATTATCCTGCTTTCTCTGCACAAGAGCCTCATTCTCTTCCTTATGGGTGAAGGGTTATCTGCAGCATTCATCCAGGAGAAAATAAGTGAATCTGGACACTGAAGAGCAGGAGGACAAAATGCTATTAGGAAAACAAAAGCACGATATGAACAGAATAAAGGAAAGGATTCTTCCAAGAGCTTCCCACCCTCTTCCCCAGTTCAAATAAGAAAAAAAAACATTTTATACTTGTGCTTTTTGGTTTAAATCCTAAATCGTGAGCACTGGCTTGGTGGGTGTGGTGTACGAGTGTTTATATGGTTTTGTTTAGGAATAAGGGATTGCAAGACCGCTGTTCTGAGTGGCCTGCTCACATCCCCCTAAGCACTTCCCCGGCTGGTAGAATCACAGAAAAGTAAATAGGGACCTTGAATACAAAGCATTGCAGCTGTTTCGTTTCCATGGCGATGCGGCCTGCTTATTGTGCGCCGAGGAGGAGAGCGCAACAGGTACTTAACGGAGCCTGCTGGTCCCAGTATTGTGTGCGTACTGGAAAGGAAGGGTAGGGGGGTGGGCAACGCACAATGGATAAAACCTTGTTAGAGACGCATAATTAGAGAGCGCGCTCAGTGGGAACACAGAAGGGCATTGTGGGCAGGGAATTAAGGCCAGCTTGCTGCTGTAAAGTGCTTTGCTACTTTATGAGGTTCAAAAGTGGAATTAATCTTTCCTGTGTTTCTGTTTTGTTGCTTTTCCTTGTGCAGAACAAAAGTCACCATTCATTTCCAGTTATTTGTCATATCAATATCAAGATACTCCAGACTCTGGTTGTTCTGACCCTAAAAAGTGATATTTAAATGCATTTGCTATAAAGATTTATGTAATTAAAGATTACATCAGAAAAAGAAAGGATTTTCTGCATTTGATTTTGGAGGTGTCCCTTCACCTGAGCATACTTTCTTAAATCCTTTCCATCTAAAGCAAACAGGACCACTACATCATGTCAGCCAGCTCTGTTTACACACTGGAGAAGTATACGTGCCACAGAACACCAGTAATTCAGGACAGAAAATTCCACCTGTCTCTTCTACTCTGTGAGTTATTGATAAATCCTGGAGTAGTGACTCGGAACTCAGCAAATACAATAACATGAAAAATGTAGGAACAGATCATGCACAAGTAAAAATGTTGCAATCCTTTTAATAACTAGAAGATTGA